CATCATCATCATCATCATCATCATCATCATCATCATCATCATCATCACACATCCACATCCACATCCACACCGACATTCACTGGCACAATGATTTGGGAGATTCCAATGTCAGGAATGAAGAAGAAGCCGACCAACACATCCAGTTCCCCCAGTTCCCTCGCATGAAAAGGGGTCGCATGTGGTGGTGATGTGGACCTTTCTTGGTGCGATGATCGGAACAGAAAGAACACCTTTCGGCTAGGATGGGACCTCCAGAAATATGGTACAGGATGGGAACAGAACCGGTTTTCAAGACTCTTTTACGGTAGTTCCATCAATTCTCAGGTCGCTATGGGTCACTGGCAACCATCTCCGTTTTTAGGGTCATAGGCATCAGAAACAGACTCACCAGGATGCTACTATAGTAGCAAAGGGCGTCGCTACTAGGAGCAAGGACGCTACGTTCGGGGCTCCTGGCATCGCTACTAACAAGAAGCTACTAGGAACAAGTGCATCGCTACTAGTAACAAGTGCCTTACTAGTAGTAACAAGGACGCTACTAGGGGCTCCTGGCCTTACTACTAGTAACAAGAAGCCACTAGGGTCATCGCTGCTCTGTACCTGAGCGGGGTCCGTGCCGGGTCTGTGCCGACAGGACGGACGAGGACGGTCCCGGGTGGTCCTTCGGTTTCGAACGAAGCGGCGATGAGTCGACCGCCTGCGTCTTTTTTCTCTTTGGGAGACGTCATTGACCACTCATGAAGTGCAGCATTTACCAGGATTTGGAGTGAAAAAGACAAGCATCAAAAAGCCCACCATGCCGCTGCCGTCCGGTTCTACCGACGCCTCTTCTACGATCATCGCGGCGCGTGTTTGCTTCGGCCAGTCCGCCCCAGCACGAGAGCTTCTGTCACAGTATGCGTGAGGGGCGCCCAGAGCAAACGTCGGAAGTGGGGAGGTTCTGATTGAAAAGATCAGCCCAACAGGGAAAGACGATGTCACCGTGGTTCATCCATCCTTCTCTTTGCAAACCGCTATGCTTGCCTTCAAAATCTTCCAAAAGGATGGGTGGAGCAATAGGGGGGTCCAAAAATTTCCACTCGGTCTACTGGGAGGTGGATCTTCAGAACTGATGTCACCCTTCGACCTTGGTCACTGACTCCAGTCCAATCCCCGATGTCTTCAAGTCTTCTTCAGTCCAACTCGACTCGACTCCAATTCTCCACTCCACTCACGACCCCACCGGTCGGGCAACACGGTTTGGGCGAGCGCTTGTGCCGACTGCTTCGGGCAGTCCTCCCCGTAAGTGCTCACATTGCGCGGATTACGTAGAGGGCGTCATCATCGAGGTTTCAAGTCGCCGGGGCGGCAGCAAGTGTCTTTGAGATTTCAGGGATGAAAACATGGCCCCGATCTCCACTTGGACCAGCATTCTGGCATGAAGTACTCGTACCAAGTGGGAGATGCACATGCCACATACATACAATACCAAGAGATACCAAGTGGATATGACTGTATCAGATTAGATGGACTTTGGTGTTCCGATAGACTGATTAACCTGCTCTTTCATTTCAGTTGCCCCAAAAAGGCGGAGGTGTTTTCAGGCAGCGCCGAGAACGGGTGGAAAACAAGAGGCAGAACAAAACTGATTTGTCACTCAAATTGCTTCCTTAGACTCGAATGAGATGTTTAGATGTTCAAAATGGAAGGGGTGAAGGTTCCGGGTGAAGCGAGTTGGGGAAGCGACTCCTGATAGGAACCGTTGCGAATCATGCAGCAATATTCCGCACAAAATAGCTGCTTCGCTCGATGTTCGTAGCTGAGGACTTATTGGAAGCTGGATCTCTTTTATCAGGCGGGCAAAGGCAAAATACGACCACCTCTACTAGTCGCAGTAGCAGAGGACTGAGATTAGTGTAGTGTATGTGGAATCGGTTGATTGGTTGATATTGGTTGACATGCCAAGTATTCTGTTCATTTTGAATCATTTTGAGTCTTCTGCCAACTCTCTGGTGGGTGCCTGGTTCCTGAGGAATAAACAGCTGGGTTAAGGATACGGAAGGGACACGCGAAACCAGCAAGACGTCGTTTTCGCTTCACACCAAACCGTCTTGTCATTGATCAAGACCACCCACCTCTCCACCACCTCTCCACCACCTGAAGGCCACCTCCACCTGTCCTGATCCACTGAGCGAGGCCAAGGACGAAGAGAAGGGGATCTTCACTCCCGAGGCCTTGGAAGAGATCAGGCCTCCACGCGGGGCCACGGCGGGGCGTCGCCTGTCACATGTGAATTATCCCAAAGTATCCAAAGAATGCATGAGTTGAGGAGAAGGTACGTTTCTGCTGACTGCTACAGTATAGCATCTCAAACCAAAAAGGTTTGGAAGACAAGTCTTCCCGTACAAAGCGGTTGCCGCTGTGAGGTGCTTTAGCTTTAGTTGGCAATGTTACTCCCTGAAAGTTGCCTTTGACTGGTCCATGTTACGAAAGCCAGCCTTCGTAGAAGGCGCCTTGTGCTTGGCGAACGAAGTGAGTAGTTAGGGGTTCTGCGGGGGTGGCCCGCAAAAGGTACACGTAAACTCGGCACATGCTGAGGGAGGAGGGTGGACGGATGGAAGCTTTCTTGAGGTTGTGTTGGAGGTGATTTTTGAGGGGTGGTGATGCAAGAAATGCAATTTGCATCATTTGCATCATCTGAATGGTAAGGTGTAGTTGGCACCTTGCCAGGTATAGATCCCCAGGTTTGACGGAAAGGGACCTGGAAGTACTGTACCTGGCAACTGAATTGTAGCTACCCTGGGTATCCATACCTGCGCCAGCTGAGTAAGAAGGGGGGTTCGGGGGGGTGGCCTGAGAAAGCACACTCGAAAGTAGGTGGGTAGGGGTGCACGGAAGCAAGGTTTTGGAGGTGCTTTTTGTGATTTTAAAACATGCCTTGTAGCTGCCCTGGGTCCGCGCGCGCGCGCGCCTAAATCACAGGCAGCTGGGAGCCAGCAAGGCACGCGCGCGGGCGGACCCAGGGTAGGGAAATTGAAGTGGGATACCTGGCAACAGAATTGTAGCTACCCTGGGTCCGTATAGATGCTATGTTGCTTTACCTCTTACACATCTATATATATAAGTTCGATGCAAGAATGAGACTTCAAAGCTGTGGATTGCTGTGCGTGTGTAAAGATTATCGAGCGGCTGAATTGAAAGGGAACTTGAAGTACTATACCTGGTAACTGAATTGTAGTTACCCTGGGTATCTATACCTGCGCCAGCTGAGTAAGAAGGGGGGTTCGGGGGGGTGGCCTGAGAAAGCACACTCGAAAGTAAAAACGCTGGCTTTCGTTTTGCAGCTTCTCAGGTTAATGACGGGCAGTAGCAGGTGGAGGAGGACTGAAGGAGTACCACCTTTACCGCAGGGATATCTACCTTTACTCTATAATAAGAGAGTATCTGCTGATATAGTGCCGAGTATGAACATCATTTCCTTTGTGGGATGCTTGACATGGCGACGTTCGGCTCAATCAGATGTGGCAGAAACGTTCCTGTTTTCGCATGCCCCGAAGAAACACCGATGACGCCCACCGACCGCTGGACCTGACCGCCAAGCGCTGCACGACGAAAAACCGCGTCGTCGCATCCCAAAGCCTGCAACTCGTCCAGGGACTTCGAGCGGCGGCTGAGAGCTTTGGAGGGCTATGGCGACTTCTGCCGGAAGCGTTACTCCTTCGTCTCCTGTGATCCCGCCTATACAGTGCCTAGCCAAGTTCACCGGGTTCAGTGAACGAATCGGTGGTTCCAAAACCTTTCGAAAGGGGTGTGTGGTTCAGCCGTTCTTTTGTTTGTCTAAACATCCAACGGTGGAGGGGGCGAGAAGACCTGTTCGGAATGTGTTATTTTCGAGATGTCAGGGCCCATGTGGGCGCTCTCGCTCCCTGCCGAGGTGACCAACATCTTCTTCTCCGTGCCCAACGCTTCTAGCATCTCAGGCGATACCATGCAGGTGCCGTTCCTGGTTGCGAGGTCGATTTGCTGGGTGACTCGTGGATGGCCCCTGACCAAATGACCATGGACCATGTAGGGGACGTCCTTGTGGCGGGCGAGCGCCGATTTTGAGCCGCTTTGATGTGAGTGGAGCAGGGCAGTACCAATCCCACCGGTCGATGAATGAGGCATCCGCGATCCACTGCAAATCCATGGCTATTTCTGGAGGGGTGGTGTGGATGGGATTGGAGGTCCAACTATTTGAGGATGGGGTGTGGGATTTATAAGTCATGGATCATTGATGGATCTCTGTTGCAAGTGAACGACACTCGCTCTTGGATCCAGCTATACCTGGCTTGGAACGAGCCTGGACTTAAAATGTCGCACGGTTCCCACCTTCTCATCAATGGAGGTGATCTACGATGGATCTGGGTCCTTGGCAAACATCGAGGACGTGCTGAAAGGCTTCCTAAGAGATCCTCGGCACAAAAATGTGCTTTTGGCACCAAAGGATACAGGTGACACTTCGTTCGGGGATCGTGTTCAGCGTTCTGATCGAAGCGGGCCGCAATAAACGTCGACGCTTGGATGGTTCCAGCCTTTTCAGGTCACGTAAAATACCTCGTGGATCCTCGTGGTAAAATATGGATGACTAGGAACAAGAAGCTACTAGGAGCAAGGGCATCGCTACTAGGGGCTCCTGGCATCGCTACTAGGAGCAAGAAGCTACTAGGAACAAGGACGCTATCAGGTGATATGACCTGCCAGAGCTGCAACTTGGAAGATTACCTACTCCTTGCTGGAGTGGGTCAGTTTCGATGTGGGTTTTGGGAGATTGTGTTCATTGTGAATTCATGGGTGTCTTTCCACTTACAGTACATTTCGTAAGCAACAAGACACTCAGGCTATCTCAGGCTATCCCTCAATCTGATGCTAAGGACGCTGCAAACAAACATATGGTTTATACATTCAAAAACAAACAGGTTCGATCCCATGGCTTCCCATGGATCCAACGCCTCACCTAAAAAGAAGCTAGCAAGAAAGTTACCCCAAAGTCACACCAGTCGCGAATCGAGACGTTTTCAGGAATTTCCAGGAAGATTTGCAGCATAGAAAATATCTTCATACAATTATATGCTACAAGATTTTTAGGATTGAATGTGGCTCTGTCGGACAACAGACCAGGTTGGGCAGAGATGAGGAAATTGAAAAGGGACCATTTGCTATAGACATTGGGATGTCTTGTGTGGCTTTTGGATGATTTTGAGTCCGGCCCCCGCAAGTCGTCCCACCCAAACAGTGGCACCTAGTGGCACGTGGTGGCACGTGGTGGCACGTGGTCGTTTGGACGGGACGTGTGCAGGATGGGATCGACTGGTGGGTGGACAAGGACTTCGGCCCAAAGAATCTGAAGAGCCGCTTCGAAAGCGAGTGGGCGGTCCGTGTTGGGCGGCAAACACGTGCGGATTTCGTTCCAAAGGGGTTTTTGTGGCAAAAACGGAGAGGTGAAGACCGTGAAAAAATGGTTTTGTCAGCGAATCCCTGAAAGAAGGGTTGTTCTGGGGGTCACACCATGGAAACTGGTGGTATCCTAGGGAGGTGTCGACCAGGTATGCGTGGCGTCTGTTTGGATTTGAAAGACTTCCAGGATCTCGTATTGAATCCTAAAGCCCGACAGAAGGGTTCTGATCCAAAACTCGGTCGAAGATCCGCCATTTGGCAAAAAGATCCCAAGTTTGTCGAAGAAGATGGGCCAGCACCGACCTTGGATGGGTTCGGAACGAGCCTGGAAGGGAGAAGTCGTGCTCGGTTGAACCAGAGATCCCAAAAAACAGATCGATTCATTTTCGCTTTGGCTCTCCTATTTCCCAAGTCAGTGACCTTTAAAATCATTTATTAGAATCCTTGAAGCAGTTTTTAGAAGCTCTTTGTACTGAACATAACGCTCTTCAGAAGGTGAAGCTTTGAGGAGGACTTCTGAATCGCATCGACTCGTGGAACAGGACAAGAGGACCAACAGTCAATATAGTCAATCATCAAAGAGGACCTTCTAAGTATATTCTGAGGTTCTATAATTATATAGTTGCTTTTCGTGATGCCCTGCGCCCCACGCTACCCAAGAACCACCCCCTTTTCAATCTTTCCAGTTGCATGCACAGGTCACCCAGTGACTCTTCGCGTAGGGATTCTTGGTGACCTATCAAACAACGTATACAACCGCTAAACATGCATCGTTCGACATCATTTGCGTTCCAGTTCCGGGCGTGGTGGCCACTTCAGGTCTATACACCCGCGCCTCCTTCTTCGGTGGGTTGCCCTTGGAGGGTTATGAGTCCTTGGACACCAGGCGCTGAAAGGAGCGCTGGAGAACTGCTGGGTGTCCTGAAAATGGATTGGATTAGACAGACGGCCAGGACATGTCAACCTGACCTGGTTTTGGGTCCTCTCGTGTTGACCCATACGCCGTAGAGGCGCTCTCTGTCGACTGGACTCCAGTTCGTGAGGCAAACAACCCATAACCCATAGGTGACTCCCATAAAGTCCGCACGTGACCTGGAAATCCTCGGAGAGGGCTCACCTTGTAGACACTTTGAGGGACTTCAATTGAATTCAGATCACCACCTTTGTCTACTTCAGAGCACGATCCAACTCCAAGCTCAAGTGGCACGACACACGTCCAAAATCAAAGCTTTCCCCAGCTTCGTTGGAGGGTCGGTTCGGAAAGGGGCTAAAGCTGCAAAAAGTAAAGCCAAGAACCAAAGGGCTCACCCAACATTTGCAGAAAGGACGCCACGTTTGGGGCTTTAGGTGTTTTGTTTTGTTTTTTTTGGGTGCTCACCGTGGCAGAGGGTTTGGACCTTCAGTCACTGCCTTCAAAGGCCCGAACTTGATCATGCTCGCTTCGGCTCGCTTCGGCTCGCTTTGTGCCGGGCACACGCGCACTTGTGTGCGTGTCTCTTTGCGCGCACCCATTGGTTCATGCTGTGGAGCGTGCCCGCCAGGTTAGAGGAGCAGAAGGCCAAGTCCAACGACTTCTTAAGGAAGGTTTGGACGGATCTTCTTCATCGTGCCTAGGAAAGAACGACCGGGTTGACGGAGGTGGAGTGAGCCTTCAGTTCGTTGGGCGGATGAGGCGGATGACGAGTGGTCAGGGGTACCATGATGCATGCGAAGACTTGTGCATGGAGGAGCTTGGAAGACTAGTGGCACTCTGCATTCGTTTGGACTTGAGCGAACATGAAGTTCTCTGACACATCAATTATCACACAGATTCACACAGTATCTCCTTTTTTTAAAAGAACTGTACAGTACATATCTATAATACACATAGAAAAACCGAGATTCTGTCCATTGTCCTGCTAGTCGATAGGAATGTCACAGTTGGACCAAAGAAAGGCCGGAGACCGTCCGGTTTCGCCAATCACCAACGTCGGAGCCTGGTTACCCACACTTCACACCAATTCCCCCGCCCGATGTCGGTTGAGGAACGGATTTGCCGGGTGATGAGGGCCTGCACTACGAACACGTGGTTTTCACCTGGGCCGAGAGCCACTTGACAGATGTAGATCGTTTTCGCTGCGGCGCAGATCGTAGTTTTCCTGAGGTAGCCTTCGGGAATATGCCATGCAGCCGGTGATACGAGTTGAGCAGATGCGTTTCTTTTTGCATTGCCTTTCCTACACGAAACCGGAGGAAGGCCGAAGGATCGAACCCGTGTGGCGTGACGAGTCGGGTTCGACCGGGTGAAAAAAGGATACACATCACTAGTAAAGGTGCATCGCTACTAGCAAGGACGCCACTAGCAGCTCCTGACATTGTTTGCTCACTTTTTGGAGCTCCCTTTCTCACCGAATTGAAAAGACACCGTTGGCGGGAGGACAGAAGCTGATCGAAAAGTGGGCCTTGGCTTTTGACCTAGGCCGTGTGCTCTATGGCCATGAGGTGAATTTCTATCTCTTCAATGATTTGAGGCACGCGCGGACAACATGTGCGGTTTGGGGGTGGCCTGCTTTGAAGACGGTGATGTTTTTGCTGAAAAGGGGTCACCTCTTTTTCATCAGGGGCCAGGTCCAGGTCGACCATCCAATCACCATTCTCGGAGAGTGGAATGTATAGGGAGACGGTAAGTGAGTTAAAGTTAGAAGAGATCAAATAAGAGGATTGATCAGAACTGGATACATTGCACCAAGCCAGTACCTGTGGCAAGTGGACACTTCCAAACAAGGGCAGGACAGTCTACTCTGTATACTCGCCCGCCATGCTTTCATGGTGTCACAGGTTCGACGACTGGATTGCGAGGAATCGAGGTGTTCTAAGAGAAGACCAACCAGAAAGGTTCCACAAAAAGCTGTTGTTTTAGAATATCACATCTCCAGATTGGTCTTCCAATCCAACTAGGGGTCAGAATGACCTTTCCGCCACAGCTCAAAGATGGGTTTGACGGCCAAAAGCTGTTGGGCCCACTGGTCTCCTTATTTCAATTCGTTTCCCAAAGGATCCCAAAGGCACCAGGTGCTGCCCTCTTGGGCCCGTTGGGCTCGCAGGTTCTGCATCGGGACCTTTATCCTGGTCAGCGCACTGGCCTCTCGCCAGCGTCGTTGAGGAGGAAGAGCGACGCGGACGGTTTCGATGCTTCCCACAAGCACGGCTCCAAAAGAAGGTATTTACAGCATACACACTACACATGCATGTACTATCATCTATTGGACATACAAACACAAACACACACACACACACATCTTTGGAACAAAATCATGGAACTTGCAAGAAGCATGATAGATCTCTTTGCTCGTTTTGGAGATCCTTTCTCAGGTTTGAGTTAGACTGAACTCGATTTCCTTGTACCAGCTTGTTTCGTGATCGTTTTGGACCGGAAGGCCTCCGATGCCCCGGTGAGACGGGGACTGACTCTGAAAGAACTTGACAGTCGAGGTGGATCGCAGGTCAGCTCGTAGATGTTTTTTTTTTTTTTTTAATTTTTTCGAAAGCAACGTGGTTCTCCATGAACGAAGGAGGACGCGCGAAATCCCGCGTTCATGAATTCTCTTTTCGTGGCGTTTTTGGTGCCGGCGTCCATCCGGTGGCCGGCAGACATCGGGGTCAATGCTGTGTCCGGAACGGCTGAGATCCTCTTGCGGCAGCAGAGTCTGGTGACCACCTTCTGTGGAATCCTGGGGGTTCCTTTGGCCGCACTGTACTGATGCCGTGTGTACTAAGACAGTAGTGAGTAGGAGTAAGAGTAGGAGTAGCAGTAGCAGTATCAACAATAGCCGTGTGCGTGGCCGTGGCCGTGGAGGCAGCAAGTGCTTCCCATGAGCGATTCTGAGGTGCCCTTGGCCTTCTCTGCCACTTACTACTTCCACTACGTCGTCATGGGCTATCAGAGGCCATGTCATGTGCCAATCAGAGCGTGGCTGCGCGGCAGTTCTCGCGAAACAACGGCGGACAGCGGTGGGTTCAAGGTACTTCGTCAGGTGGTTTTGCCATGTTTGGCACCCAAGAAAGAACTCTTTTGTTGAGGTGCTTCTTCCAGCAGGTCGGTGGTCATCCTTCTCTTCTCTTCCAAGGTGTTTTGATGGATCGAGGCTCCTCCGTTTTGGGTGCTGTTGAGTCAGGGCCTTGTTTTGGGGAGGAACCTCCATTTGCAAGCGACTCTGATATGAACATACGGTTAGACCGATGAGACCGATGAGGGCCCGGCCTGGTGGTTTTTCACGCGCAAACGGTCCGAATCTCTTCGAGACGACATGGGCGATCCGTGATGCTTGCAATGGGGAAAGCTGTTCCAGTGAATGGGTTTTTGATCAATGTCATGAATTCCATGGGTCCTTGAAGCATTGGACTCCTGGGGTGAAGACCATAGAAGCGAAGCTTGAACTACATCCTTCCTTTGGGGCGTGCCCTTGAAGGGGTCTACCACCCTCCGCAACCCATCTACTCTTAAATGGGAAACCAGATGTCCGTCCAACGGTTTGTTCTTGGTCAATTCGGGAACCCGTCCAACGCGAAGCCGCCACGCGAAGCGCCACTTGCCAGGATGAGCGTCATGGATTTCGTCTCCATCTTTCTGATCGTTGGCACCTCGGCATTTGGCTCCGGTGGCGCTCACGGAGACCTCGGGGCGCTCCGGGGCGGTGGACATGACAGACATGATATGCATGGCTTGTGAGGTCGGGGCGTGGGTCGGGTTGGGATGTGGAGCCTGTGTGGGTGAAGCGACGGCGAATCGATGAAGAAAAGGGACACCTTGCGACAGAGAGCAGATTGGATCTTTCCCCGTGTGACGGAAGATGAATCAGCAAGAGAAAGGTTCATCACCAGTTTTAAGCAGTTGGACCATCGACCATCCTCCCCGGCTGATCGCACACACACACACACACACGGAAAAGCGTTCAGGGCGAACCTGGCTCGATCCTGGATCTCCCAGCCTGCTGCATACGATACGCTGAGGCATTGCAGCAGATGACATCTTGCTGCTTTACAACACCTACCAGCTAGCCTCTGCCGTGGTGCAGCTGAAGGGGAAGACCAACCAGCCGGCTGCTCGGATGAGGCGCGGATGCCAAAGACGGTCGTTTTGCATGGGGCTTGTCTTCACACTGGTTACCATTGGTTGGCTCAGGCTGGTCTTCGCACTCGACAGGCTTCGCCAGACACGATAAAACGAGAATTCGTGTGACACGACTGTGCCAAGCCCCGACACTTCACCTCGGCAACCGCTCAGAGCGCATCTGCTCCCTCATAGCCTCAAATCCCCCAACCATTAGATTCTGTCTTGGCAGTTTTCAAGCGCTGCTAGCTGCAGCACTCATCACTGATGCGTGCCACAACCAGCGCTGCGGTGCTCGATGATGCCACTTGCGAAGCTGTGCTGCGGAAGTTCATCACAGAGGATCTGCACAAATGTCACGCCTGACTGGTTTTCATGACTTTGTGGCAGTAAGGTCTTTGAAACAGAATGTTTTTTTTTTTTTACATGTTGCAACCATTCCAGCTTCGATGCAGAAATGGTCGCAATGCGGTTTGAGGACGACGGATCCTGGTGAGGATGATGATGCACCCCCAAACCATCGCACCTCTGAATTGAACTCTCCTCCGCACCGCACCACCAGCATCACCCGGTGCCGTTGTTCGACCACTTCACTCGGCTGGGCGAAACGCGGAGAGGTGGGCTTACAGGGAGGCCGCCTCGGCCATGCTGGTGACCAGCGTGACGACCTGTGTGGCCTCTCCGCAGCTGGAGCGATCGATCGGATATGGCTGGAGCTCGGGCGTGGTGTGGTGTGTGTTTTGTGCGGCGGGATCCCAAAAAAGAACGTGCAGATTTCATGGGATTTCACAGATTTCATATGATTTCAGGATCTCCCAAGTTTTTGAGATCACATTCCCTCGAGGAGTAGAGTCAGGTATGTTGCTATACAAGTCATGTATATATAATTATATATATATATATACACATTGAGTCTGTCAATCATGTTCATCACTGCTTCGTACAGGTGATTCGATCCTACTCTTTCAAATTTCCTGGTCCTCTTTCCATGCAAGTGGAGACCTCTTTCGATCCTCCTCTCGATGTTCCGCCAGGTCTCCTTCTACGCGAACATGCTCTCGATTGTGAGCGTCGTGAGGCCAGTCACATAGCGACGGGTGAGGGATCAACGGAGATGAAAAAGGCACCTCCGGTCCTGCCAAAACGTTGGTTCTGAGGCCATGTTCCGAACCCATGAGGCCATTTTCATCAGAGAATCGGAGGATGGGTTTTGAGTGGCATGTTCCGAACAAGAGACTGTGGAGGAAAAGTCAAGACCATACTGCTACTGATGCTTCCCAAACAAAACGTGAAAAAACTGACCAGCAACGGAAGCACAGCAACTGCTACTCATCCTGTGGGAAGAATCCGTGAGGCAGTTCGGATTCTTCATGGGCACCTTGGTCTTGTGGAACTTCCTGAACGTCCTCACCATCTTCCCCGCGAGCTTGCTAGTGAACGAGATGTATCTCGCTCCACTCTGGTGCCCCGGCGGGGTTCTGAGTACGAACCCCACCCCACCCACCCCAGAGGTGAGTGAAACTGACAAAGCCTGTGGGTTCGTTGCCAACAAGCCCTTTCGCTTGGCGACCACTTGCTGAATTCACCAGTGATGTTTCGAAGGGGTCGACCAACCGGACCGAATTTCGTGGTGGATCTCGTGGATCCGAACGAAAAGAACGCCTGAAGAGTGTGGTCTTTGACTACCCCTTCGGCATGGGAGGAGGCGGTAGGGAGGAGGGTAGAGGGTGCTCGTTTTGGCGCCCTCCACGGCTCGGGTGAAGGTCCGTTGACGGAGGCCCTTCAGGTCTTCCAGTTTGCGGCAGCTTCCACACTCCGAAGACTTCGGAAGTGGGGTGTCCACCGTGTTTGTAGAGGAAAATGATCCTTCCCAAAGGCATCCAAAGGCTATGCCATCTACTTCCGTGGAACGTGAGTCGGAGAGTACATCTGACCAACTTGTGTCTGAATGGATGGAGTGAATGTCGGAGAGAACATGCAGAGACTTGACCGGGTTCCCGATTGGGTTGTAGGTTTTGGACGTTTGCCAAGGAGACAGCAGAAGGGCGGCTTGGAGTGTGACCCGTTAGAAGAGGAGGGTCAAACCCCAATTCAGGGATATATTCATAGGGGCCTGGGTTTATATTGCAGACCCTGTGACCCATGATCCTGTCATGTCATACTGATGCGACTGATGCGAGTTTTCCAGATGAGGTCTGTCCGGATGGTCTGTCTGTCCTTGATGACAGTTTCTGGGAGTGTGCTGGGGTTGTTACTTCGTCGGCCATAGCCATGGCAAACAACACTTTTTCTGGTGTAGTTTCCATGTTTTTTCTTCAATACCAGCTAGCAGCCACTGTAGCCTTTCAGTGGGAGAGCCATTGCTGAACACCACCAGGCTGCCATCTTCCACGGTATGGACGATTCATTGGGGCACCAGAATTGAGATGATACCATTCCGGCATGGTCCGCACCATGCTTGTCAAAGCTTAGTCCGGGATGACCACGCGTGGAGGACACCTGAGCCGAATCCTGGCAGAATCCAACCATCCTGGCAACCCCTGGAGATGGTCCGATGCTGAGGTGCTGCTGTCGTGCGACCAAAGGCACGGTGGTGGGACGGAGTGAGCGCAGTCCGCGGCCGGACCGGGGCCCCAACTGTAGACCCCAACACATGGAACATAGAAAGCACTGAGACCGAGACCCTGTGTGGCAGTATCCTTATTTTGAGTTCATGTGACCACATGTCACCCTGATACCCTGAAGTCATGAGTTTTGAGTGGACTCGGGGCCCCAGCTATGTGCTTTTTGTCGTGTATTACAATGGAATTGTAAGAAGTAACACAAGCAGAACAGCGAATGCCTGAGCTGTTCTGGTTCGAGCCAATTCGAGAGCACGAGCAGCTCTCAGCTGGGTCGGTGAGGCCCGATCCGACCTGGCCGGTTTCTCGACGCCATGGATGCGTTGCAGAGTCAGCCCCTCGTTGCTTGGACCATTCGTGAGTTCAAGCTGTTGACCTCCGGTGTGTCCGTGGATGCCCTGCGGCGGGCGCTCGTAGCGCTCATCGCTTGGACGACCAGCTGCCTCTGTTTGTTCCGGTCGCAGCCGGAGGAGGTTCGGCAGGAGCTTCGGGTCTTCGAGGACACCGTCTGTGCCGTTCAGGAGGAGGTGGTGTCCCTGCTTGGCAGATCCTACACCAGCCCCCATGCGCTGGCCCACTGGCGCAACCAGGACGCTGTCATCGTGCCTACACAACAACAACATGTCGTTCGTGGCGTGATGGACTCGCTGGACGGCAAGCACCTGACCTTGGCCGGGTTCTGGGCTGATTTGTCCGCCACGGACGGCTTGCACATGGAGGAGTTGGTTGAGGCCGTGTCTGCATCCAGCAGCCTCTATGCCGGACAGGAGGGCATGGTCCTGGTGGCCCACTTGAGCGGCCTTTTCGTCAAGTCTGTGGCGGAGGTATACCGCCGGCAATTTCAACACGCCCGTGGACCGACGAGCTCCGATGAGGAGTGGGATGTGATGATCTGCGGACCGCAGACCCCTCGTGGCCCGCAGGGCCCCTCAGCGAGTTCCTAGTGTTTCACCCGCTCGTTCGCCTTTTTGAAAATTTCGTTGTTGCTCGTTTTCCGTGGTCGGTCGAGTTGATGGGTTTTTTGGTAGCATGGCCTCCTCTCTTTAAGTTGCAGACCCTGAGGCCTCCACCTTCGCACGCTGTTGAAGTTGCTCAGCTGTGCGTTCCGTCGGTCGATCGATGAACTTTTCAGTCCGTTTGCCCATCGCATGTTGAGTTCACCTGTGATTTTTTTCGTATGATTGGGCCCTAGCGAGTGACCATGACTGGCACTGACAGCGGCCCCCCCGGCCTGTGGGGCGCATTGCGGTCTACCGGCCTGCAGCCTCTTGCACCTCAACTTGCCTGTCATGGCGTGCGCTCGCTGACGGACATTGCGAGCCGCTTCAATGAGTTGGTTGCGGCCGGCTTTTTGCCAGGTCAACTTCAGCGGCTGTGCGAACAGCCTATGGGCTCTAGCCTGGACTCCGCAGCCGCCCCCCGACGAGACTTCCCAGCAGTGCGCGACGGGGCTCACGCCTCCCTACAGTTAGCCCTAGCCGCGGCATTGCCCGACCGGCAGGCCGACAGTTTGAGGGCCTTGTCTGATGACTTGTTGGCCCCATCTACACGACCATCAGTGGAGAGTAGACTCCGGACCTGGCAGGCCATTTGTGAGGCTTGGGGACAGCCCTCCTTCCCGCTGACCATCGACAACGTGAGGCGGGCTTCTGCTTCCTTCAAAGCCGGTCGCTACCGATCAGCCAAACAGTACTTTGCCATCGTCAGCACCTATCAACAGCGGGAGCTGGGACTTCCTGTCGATCCGATGGTTCGCCAAGCCATGAAGGACCATATTCGAAGCACTGAAAGGGGCCTGGGGCCCAGTCAACTGAAAGAAGCCTTTATGATGCCAATGATTGGGCCGTTGGTCCAGCTTCATGACCGGGATCCCTTCGCAGCAACCACCGTGGCTCATGCAGTCGATGTCATCATTCTGGGGGTATGGTGGATGCTCCGGGAGGTCGAGTTGGCCGCGGCCCGCGCACAGCATTTGCAGGTCTACAACAACACGGTCACCCTGACGCTCCCCTTCAGCAAGACGGACAGCGGGGGACACATGGTCTCTCGATCCTTGGAGTGCGCATGCTCAGATGCAGTTCATGCCTTCTGCCCTTTTCATGCGGCCATACGACACCGCACCCGCCTTGCCAGGCGTTTTGGCCGGGAGCCCACAACGGAACCTCTACTCCCCGACTCCGATGGCGAGGTCTTTGACAAAGCCGGCACGATCGAGGTCATCAGATCCGTACTGACGGCAGCCGGTATCCAGTTGACCCGGACGACTGAGGACGGCCGAGAGGTCCAGCGGTTTCATGGACATGTTTTGAGAGTGACGGGTGCCCAATTCTGCACCGCTGCCGGAGTTTCTCCAGAGCTCATCCAGACACATGGTCGCTGGAAATCCTTGGCCGTTCGCAGGTACACACAGGATGCCTCTTTGGCCACAACCCCCTCGATGGCATCTCGGGTTCTCGGCGGAGTGCAGCCGGCTACTCCGTCATTTTCCCCAGCGACGCCGGTACCGGCGAGGGATGGGTTGACACCGTCCGGAAATGGGGACGCCAGCAGGAGCGCCCCCGCGGCCAAGAGGAGCCGCTGCGCTGATCGCCCACGACCCGGGCCAGCGGTTCAAGACCTCCGCGAAGAGGTCCAAACACTGGCAGCATCCCTGCAGCAGCTGAAGACCGCCGTCCTTCGACCTGAGAGTGACCCCCTCGTGGTGTGGAACCGGAGCAAGATCGCCCACAAGATCGGCGTCAATGAACAGACCAATGTACCCACCTCCTGGAGGACCACATGCGGGCGACCATATGGCCTCGGTTTATTTCATAGGATCCCAGCCCTTGAGGGGGACTTCGTGCCTTGTAAAAAGTGCTTTCAACTCTCCTCCGATCCTGATTCGGTCTCAGAGGAGAGCTCTTCGTTGGGGGATGACTCCTCTGACGAAGACGACAGTGCCTGACGGGGCGGCACCGAGCGAAACGGCTGCGCTCTCGGGGGGGGGGGTCCCCCCCCTGGTTTGGGTCGGTTTTGGTCTGGGGTCTCCGCTGACTTCTTGGTGTTTTCGCCTTCTTTGGGTCGTCCACCTCGGGATGGGGCTTTTCGGCCGGGACGGATCGTCGTCGCCTCGCGAGTCGAGTGTTGTGCAGGTTCAGGCAAACAGGGCATGACCTTGTGTGACTCTTCTTTCGGTTCGTCACCCGCTCGATCGTCCGACCGTTCGGCAGTGCACGAATCACACGTTGATTGATCCTCCGTCCGTGAGTTGGACGGCTCAATAGCAGCCATGATGGCCGCTGGGCTTCCTCCATTACGTGATATCCTTGACCATGCCGGTGCCGACACGGTGGTCATCGATTACATCCAGGCGCGCGGCATCACATCCCTCGGGACCTTCGCCAAGGTGGCGTCCTCCGTGGACAATCTGAGGGCGACCCTGATTCAGCCACTGTTGGATGGCTTCAAGAAAGGTGGTGCTCACCTGGTGGTCGATGATGTCGACAAACCGATCATTGAAGCAGTGATCATCACAGCCTGGGAAGAGGCCCAGGCGCTCTGGGCACAGCATGTGCGCCCATCAGCGTCAGCCTCGACCGCCGCGCCAGGCAGTCCGGCCCCGGCCACGGCGACGACGACTCTCAGTGATGACAAGCCGCCCAAACAGCTGCCCACTGGGGTCTGGAACACCGCCATTCGCAAGTACAACGACCTCGAGATCCAAGGGATCCATCGGAAATTTCCGGAGAAGGAGTTGCTTGGGGCCGAAGTGACGCTGGCCCGAATGCACCATGAGCACACCCGGAGCAAGATGTACACACCGGTCGGTCTCGGGGAACTCATGACCCACCGAAGCTTCACCTCCACGGGGGAGCCCAATCCATTGGTGAAATCCAAACAGGAGGCCAAGACCACCCTGACAGTGGAAGGCGATAAGTTGGTGCAGGAGGCCGACAAGGTATGGCAACCGAAATCGGTCCTGGCAGTGATCGACGCCATCAACAGCATTCGCTGGGCTTGGATCTTGCTTGACTATGGCCCTGAACTGGTGATCCATGAGTTTTGTGACTGGTTGTCATGTCGAGCACGTCTGCGCCCTCAAAGTTGGAGCAGTTCAAGGTCTATTACGATCAGATCTCTTGGAAGCTAGCCACCTTAATGCGGAGCCACCAGACCTTCACAGAGGCGACCGCCGAGATTCGGGCCGATCTCGAGACCTACCAGGAGGCAATGGCCAAGGAGATTGTCACCAGCAATCGACCCGCCGCCAAACGCAAGCTGGACAGCGACAACCAGGCCGAGGGACCGACCATCAAGTTCCAGAAGGGCATAAGCAAGGGCAAGCAACAGGCACGCCCACCGTGGCGATCAGGTGCGGCATCATCATCCTCCTGGGACTCCTCCAATCGATCCAGCTGGTCCAGTCAGTGGTCCAGTCAGTGGAGCACCCCACGCGGCCAGGGTCGCGACTGGGGCAAGTCAGACCACAAATAGGGCACAGGGAACCCCCCTGCTGGCACGCAGGGGGGCGATCCCGCTGCGCCCGAAGTGCCATTAACCCCGGACCTCCGATGCAACATCGTTCTGAGCTTTTTCGATGGCATTGGTTCTGGGCCCTTTGTTCTACAAGAGCTCCTACCGACCACACCATTGGTCCTGGCCTGGGAAACTGATCAAGTTTGCAAGGACATCGCTAGCCACCACATGCCGCACATCCAACACCGGGGCGATTTCCGAGAAGACAGCCCAGAGGATGTCGCCGCCGCCCTACGGCAGCATGCGGGCAACGTTGCTCCTCAGGTTTGGGTCCTGGCCGGTCCACCGTGTCCAGATTTCAGCCGCATCAAATCCGCAGCACCCGGAATAGAAGGGTCAGAAGGCGTCAAAATGGACGAGTTTTGCACCTTTTTGGACAACCTGGAGGGCACCCTCAAAGATTGGCCACCACCGATTATCCTCGTCGAGAACGTCGTGATGACCAACAAGCAGGAGATCCAACATTTCTCCCATCGGCTTCGCTGCAACCCCATTCTGGTCGACGCAGCTGATTTCGGGATGATAGGAAGACCAAGACTCTGGTGGACCAGGCACCAGTGGTCGTCCAAAGACACCTATCCCGGCACCAATCGCCCCCTCAGGTGGAGCCAGACTCATGGCCTGCATCGCCTGCAGGCGTCCCTCACCTGGGATGACCCGAAAGCAATGGAGCTTCACGACCTCTTCTTCCATGAGCAAGTCCGCCAACACCAGGTGAGGATCCCATGTCTCACCACCCCGGCACCAACCTCCCATGGCAGACCAGCACCCAGGAGCGCTCGAGGGAAAACCTCCGACGAGGCCCGCGAACGGTGGATTGGCGACCAGCGGAGGTTTGCACCATGGAACTACGAAGACACTGCGATGATGCAAGGCGCAGATCGCCGCTTCTACGTGGTCCCTCCCAAAGTGAAGGAGAGGTTGCATCACTTTCCTGACAACTACACCAAACACAAGTCGGCCAGCACCCAAGACAGGCATCGCGTCTTGGGCAACAGTTGGCACTTGGGGGTGGCCAGACTCCTCTTAACCCTCATCTTCACCAGCATTACCGCGACCACAGCGACACAGCCCAACCGATCCCCTCACCAGACCATCCTGGACCAGATGATACAATGGGCCAATGTCCAACGGATCTTCATGGGACCCGGCCCGCGGCCCGTCCAAGCACCCCTGGTGACACCTTGCCACTCTATGGAAGAACACTTCCGACTGTCGTCGTCGGTCCTGCACCCAGCAGCCCAGCCCCCTGAACCCGAGCCTTCCCTACAAGACACCGCACGGAGGTTGCTCCGGTGTCTCGACCACATTGACCAGATCCGGCAAGCGGTCCTCCAAGATCTTCAGCAGCTCAAAGATGATTGGGCACCTGACACTGAGCAGTGGCTGGCCGATGCCCCCCCTCATATACGACAGGTCTACACCTCCAATGGGAGCCACCCAACAACTCAGGTGCCTTTGATCTGCCATTTGCTCCGGCAGCTACACTACCCCGAGGTGGATGAATTGAGCGACGAACTTCACGGAGGTTTCCGTCTTCTGGGCGATCTACCCACTGGAGCCGGTTGGTCACATCGACACGACCTCAGGTATAGCTGCCCAACCTCCGTGGACGAATTCCTCCAAGAGAACCAGGAGTACATCTACAGGAAGCTCCTGGACCACAAGGTAGATCAACATTGGGACACCATGCTGGATGAGCTACTCAAAGAACGTGACCAGGGCAAGATTTTGGGACCGTTTGCGTCCTTTACGGACTGGCCCAAGCAGTGCGTTGGCGTCCCCGACCGCACTGATGTGACCTTGCTGCCCAACAGCTGGACGCATTGTCCTACGGCAGTGTGTTTCTCGGTAGTTCAGTCTGACAAGATCCGACGATGCGAAGATTATCGTCGCGGACATCACAATAGCACCATCGGGGCCACCGACATCCCCCACCACCACGACATCGGGGCTTATGTCAGCATGGCATCCTGGTTCCAGGCCCAGTCACACCCAGCCCATATTTGGGCCCACGACTTGAAATCTGCCTACAGGCAGTTTCCCATCCAAGAGCCATGGCACGGCTTCACCCTTCTCTTCACACCGCACGGCCCCACCTTGTGGCAGCATCAGGCTCTCATGTTCGGGGCCACCGCATCGGTTTGGGGATTCAACAGGGCAGCAGACGCAGCGACATACCTCACCAGACAATTACTCCTCACATGCACCATGCACTATGTGGACGACTTTGGTGGGGTAGAACCGGCTCGGTGTAGCACCTCCGGTTTCCAAGCCTTTACACAATTCACCGAAATCTTGGGCCTGCACATGAAGCCGAACAAGGCACAACCGCCAGACACCAAACAGGAGCTCCTGGGGGTCGAGATCGAAGTGGGCACCGACGAGATCGTCCTACGACCGACAGCGACCAGGCGGGCTAAACTACGTGAAGAAATCCATCGATTACAGGCCCAGGGCACGATTTCGCCCGCGGAGGCCAGCAGACTTGCTGGCCGCATGACCTTCCTGAACTCCACTGTTTTCGGCAAGGTGGGGGCGGCCGCCCTTCGGCCTCTATATGTTCGGGCCAAGGCAATGGGGGGACGCCCCAAAGGAGACCAATATGCCATCACACCGCCACTGGCAGCTGCCCTGAGAACCATGATCCACATCATCAGCATGGCAGAACCACAGCGATTCCCTTTGACACCTGCACAGCCCTGCTCGGCCACACTCTATGCCGACGCCTTTTACAAGCAAGGTGAGTACAAGATGACAGCCGATGAGGCTTGGGAACTGAGACACGGCGGTCTCTCCAACGGCTGGGGCTTTGTGGCGCGCTTGGGGGACGACATCTTTTATGCTCATGGCTCCCTCCCACAACAACTTCTGCTGAGGGTCACCACTCGGCAGGCTTTCATCTACTTTTTGGAGATCTACGCTCAGGTGGTCATGACAGCCTGCCTCTCGGAGCTGCTGCCACACCAATGGATCAGCTTCATCGACAACCAAGCGGGACATGCAGCCTTGCTTAAAGGTTGGGGCTCCGACGAACGGGTGAACCTGCTGCTCGAGTGTTTTTGGAAAATGGCCGCCAAGCTCCAGTGGCAGCCACATTTCGAGTGGGTGCCCAGCCATAACAACATCTCTGACCCGATTTCCAGGGGTGATTTTTCTTTGGCAAATCTCCATCAGTGGACCCTCATCGATGTTGAGGACAAACCACTGCACAAGCTTTTGAGTAGCAGCCAGACGACTTTGGAACAGGCTCACCTAGAGGGTGATCGAATCTTGTCCCAATTAGCCTCAACCCGGTGCTGTGTGGTGAACTCCCCGGGTGGTCTCCACAGGAGTTCATCACCAGTGAGGCCTGGGAGGAAATGATCCAACCCTCAGACCTATAGAGGAGGAAAAAGTCGAGAGCTTGGTGCTGCAGAACAGTTCGGTTCGAGACGAGTGTCGACTGTTCGATTCATGATTTGTGTCGATAGTCGCTATCTAACAAGTTAGGTAACGCCACTTGATTGCATGTTGCTGGAAGCGGTGTTGTGTATTACAATGGAATTGTAAGAAGTAACACAAGCAGAACAGCGAATGCCTGAGCTGTTCTGGTTCGAGCCAATTCGAGCCCTCCACTCCACACCCCTTCGTAGATCGACTTGGAGCGCCGTCGCTGCCGCTTTGTCTACTACCACCACTGAGATGAGCCTCATGATCACAGTCTTCTGAGGTAGCATTCAGTTTTCCTTTCTTTGCTTGTACCGGATTAATCCGGTGGTTCGTACAGGTTGTGTCACTTCCTGTACATTGTGTCTCTTTATACGAATTCACGATCAGGTCACTTACATCCTAGCCCTGGGATGGTCTCC